AAATATGTAAGCGAGGTGTGTGTCAGTTGACGGCACTTAAAAAACAAATGGCATTGATAGCACATTCATTGTCAACAGCGCGTGGCCGAACCGTTTTGACATGAGCCGGTAACCGTTATTTTTTTTCCGGTTCAGTTCCGGTTCGGGTTCATCGCGATAACAATATAACTGTTCGGGTTCGGGTTCAGTTCCGGAAAAAATACCGGTTCGGTTCCAGTTTTCGGTTCGGTTCGGTTCCAGTTCGACACCCTGCACAAAAGAAACTCCCTTGCGTATGCTTGACAGCGCACAATCCCTTGATTTCCCTCGTGGATTTGCGTGAGCATCTCTGCTCGAAGACACTTGGGAGTGATAAGCCGGGGTCCTTTTAGCAGTAAGGCCCTGGCACACTGTTATGTCGCCCTGCTCTCCAAAGAACGGCTTCAGGCTCCATGGAAGTTTGTTTTTCAATGGCCAGCCCTCCTTACAGTACTTGAGCAAAGCTTGCACAGTCTTGGTCATCCTTCTGAAGCTTCCGGATCCTTTGAAGATCTTACAACGCAGGCAATGTGCTGATTGCCCCCAAAACAAGTGACAAAACCTCGACAGGGGTGTGCATGCCCTCAGATGACACGTCTTTGCAGGGCGCTCTCGACGGCGTGTCAGCTGTGGCCATGTTCTTTCCTGGGGTGTATTCGATTTTGTATGAATATCGCATCAGGCTCATTCGAAACCGTTGCACCCGTGGGAGCAGCTTTTCCAGGTTATGCTGGCCCACTAGTGGGACCAGGGGCTTATGGTCTGTCTGTAGAACAAACTTCAGTCCTCAGAGATACTCTTCAAATCTCTCAGCTGCCCCAGTAAGTGCAAGCGCTTCCTTTTCAATCTGCACGTAGTGCTGCTCTGTTGGAGTAAGGGATCGAAAAGCAAACGCAACTGCGTGGAGTCCACCATCTCGTCGTTCTTGAAGGAGCACCGCTCCCTTAAAGGGACCATGAAATGATTTTAAAATCGAATTTCATCCACCGCACGTCGTAAAAGGTGTGAAAAGAAACACAAAAACACAAAACTAGGGAGCCAAAAAAAATTATTTGCTATAGAACTTTTAAAAGAAAACTGGACTCTTTTGCGCCTTCCTTCCTTCGCCTGTTCACTACGATGCATGCGCGGAAATGGAGCACGTCAGCCAAATCCAGGTCGCCTATTGGGTAAGAGCCTACCTCACCAGCACCGCAATCGTAAACAATAAATAGCCGGCGAATGTTTCCTAAAAGTTTTGTTAAATAATATTCAGATCCACATTTTGTAGCATAATTAGAGATGTGTGGAGAAAATTGCCAAATTTGATAATGCTGAGAGCCAAGCGCCATCTATCGTGTGGTAAACGAAGCAACTACTGCACGTGCGCAGTAGGGCAGGGCCGACTTAGAACGGTTATTTCCTTTGGCTTCCTTCCTCTCAAAACTCTGACTGACTGAACGTTTATTTTTCGATGTGTTCATCTCGCGCATGCCGACTTCAAGCAGCAAGAAAAAAAAATGTACTTAAAACAGACCACGACGAACAAGAACGCTGGATCCACAAACACCCGAGAAGAGCGACAACAGCCGCGAATCCCGCTCCGACGAAGCTCTCAGAATATAAGCCTAGCAGGCACTCCGACTCGGCGCAGCGTTGCTTCGTCGCAAGACCGTCTGCCTGCCTACGACCGGCTGGCGTGCTGAATGGAATATGCCCGTGCTACCCTTGTGGACCCTTCCCGTATTATAGTTTGATCGCTGACCTCAATTTTAGGTTAAGAGGTGAGGTCAATCTCTTCCCCTTGTTTTCCGAGGCAGTGTTGACGAACACTCGTCGAAAAGAGACCCTCGTCGATTCTCTCTTCTTGTTTTGTGTGATATAGAGCTGAAATAAACGCTGTATGGATTACCTTCGTAACACGGTATGTACTCTTTGTTATTGGTATGCCATTTTTACTCTGACAGACTGCACGTCACTGTCGAGCTGTAACAGTTCGTGGGAGGTATACGTGCAATACCGGTCCAACCTTTCTTTGCCGAGTGTCGCGTCAGTATCGAGTTGCAATCGTAAAAGATCGGTCCCGAAGCGCTTACCAACAGCGCGAATACAGCACTTCCATCAAACGCGCGCGTCCGATCCGAGTGTGAACAGGTATTTACGTGGCTCTTGCTGACACTCGTAGTTCAAACGTATCTTTTTTAACGTCGGCTCGCTCCTGCATCTCCGAGACCGCGAAAAATGCCGCGGCAATTTGTTTCCATCTACGCCGCTTTGCAAACGACTGACACTGGCCGCCTTTTACCAACAATGACAGTTGGGTTGACTTCTGAAGTCTTCACCGGAAGACTCGCTGCACTTCCCAACAGGCATACCGGTGTATGGGACTAGTCCCATGCTGTCGCTGTAGCGCAACATATCTCATTGAATTTCGCTCAGCTGCGATGCGGCGATGAGAGGCGCCGATTCAGAAAATACGTCGGTGACATCGGCGCAGTAAAACCTACCGGCGCACCCCAACTCGTCGCCGCTAACGCTCCCATCTCCTACCGCCGAGAGAACTTCCGGTTCCGGAAGCAGCGTACGTCACGGCTTCTTTTGCGGTCAAGAAAAAGTCAATATTTCGTTAATTTTTTGTGTAGAAGTTAATAAACCGAGACGAAAACGGATGCCTGTTCGGCATTCAGTGAACATTGACGGTTTAATGTAAAAGTTATCTGGAAAAAGTAAAAAAGTCATTTCATGGTCCCTTTAACCATGGGACGAGGAGTTGGCTGAGACGATGGTATGAGCAGAACTGTTGTACTTTGCAAGGCATCTCTTCAACATGACCATTTGCTTGACCTTGTCAAGGGCTCGTTGCTCCAATCCCCAAGTTCATTCGTCGTTCTTCAGAAGTAGTTCACAAAGTGGTGCTGTCACTTGTGACAGGGTGGGCAGAAAACGTGCAACATGATTCACCATACCCAAAACCCGTCTGAGTCCAGATACATCCGTAGGGGCAGGCACAAGCTGGATTGCCGTGACCTTCTTCGGATCTGCACGGATGCCATCCTTGTCGAGGATCACTCCTAGAAACGACACCTCAGCGACGCCAAGTTGACACTTGGGGTTGAGCGTCACACCGGACTGGGCGAGTCGCTGCAGGGCTGCTCAGTCCATTGTTGTGTTCTACTTGCATGGCTCCGTAAACCAAGACGTCGTTCATCAAGTTCTGGATACTTTGAAGTCTGTCCAAAATCTGTCGTCTTTCTCTGCAAAACTTCATGGGCCGAGGTTACCCCAAAGGGCAGTCTCCTGTAGCATTAGAGCCAAGGATTTGTAAGATTAAATGTACGCACCATCTAAAAAAAAGTTGTCATCAAACCTTGTAAAAAAAATTTTGAGGCAAAAAAAAAAGAAAAAATGTGTGCAAAAAGAAGGGAGTATACGGAAACTGCAAGTGCTCCACAGTCAGCCGATAGATAGCGCCACCGTTTCATTTTTAAAAGCCGCTGACAACCCCCCCTAAATTTTTTTATTTCTTTCCAGGCGATTTAGTATGGTGTTAGAAGACTACCCAATCAATATTTCGTTACAGAGTCGCATATATTTTTAGTGAAGTCAAAAACTGCAACTGCTTGAAACCGAAACAAGCACGCCTGCACGGAGGCGAGAGTTGCCAAATGTCACATGGCTATCGCTTTTTACCCAGCTTTTTTTCCGTTCCTCCGCTTTTTGGGCATGTGAAGTAGACGACGACAACAAAGACATTGCTTGAACCGCTTGTCGCGTGATTGTTCAGCACTTATATCCCTTCCCCTCGCTGTTCAGTGCTTGAAGATCGATTGACCAGTACCACGAACCACAGTTCCAAAGTAGCTGTCCTACGTCCGTTGCAATGTTAGTCTGTCGAGCGCCGCCAACGCGTTGTCCAGCCTGCGGTACGGGGCCTTATTGAGCGTGTACAGTCGCCGACCGATTTTTCGGTCTTCGCAGGGACCGAAAAAACGTCCGTATAATAGAGCAGTCGGAAAATAAGCATATTAAATAACTTGCCTTTATTACATCTAAGCAGGCTCAAAAAGTAGTAAATAGTGCCTTGCTTCAGGTTACGCCTGCACACCTTGTTTTAGGTGATGCCTCCATTTACATTCGGCAACTTTCTGTTAGCTGAGAATCACTGCCTTCTTTTCTAGCGCTATGTATTTGAGTACTTTGTGCACTTCTTAGCGACACATCGCGGCGGCGGAAAAACAGATTGGGCAATGACGTCCAAGCCAGCATAGTCCAAAAACACGATTCTTTGAGACAAGATCGAGATGAGAGGCGCAAGTCCACGACTGCAATGGCGAATCAACAAAGCAAAATGGAAAACAACAACAATGATGATGATAATGACACGCAGGTGGAGAAGAAAAAAAAGTCGTACGGCGTCACCTAGCAGTAGGACCTTGCAGTATTCAAGTAGTGCTGCCAAGGCAAGCCAATCCATGTGTAGCAAACACAGAATCCAAAATGGCCGCTTCTCAGTGGTGTTTCCCGCTGAACGCTCGCAACGATTCGCAACGAGGTCAGAATTATCGCCGTCCGAAAAAACGGTCAGTGACTGTACATCTACTTTTTGTGATCTCTCCAACAATTTTTTTCGACCAACATATAGGCAACTTCTTGAAAGCCACAAAAAATGGGGTTCATATTCTTTTCTATTTTTAACATTGAATGTGTGCCTTGATGATTCAGGATTTCGAATATATTTGGTGCGCGTCGGTTTGAACAGCAAGTGACCGTGGGAAAGAGTGAGCGCGCCTGAAGCCGGCCAATTCTCAACTGGTGGTTTTCGGGCAGAAAGAATACGAATTTCGAGCCGCAAATTGTGTTCTTGGTGGTTAAGCTCTTGTCGGTCATGATCAAATAAAAACCTTGGCGAGCATAAATACCCAGTCAGTGTCCCTTCAAGGCACCTGGTTCTAAGCAGTGGCAAATGTACGAACCAGCCATAAGTCTGCTCTTTGCACCCGCAGGACTTTTCCCGAGCGGCCGCCAGCCTGAGCCTGGACGACATCGAGAGACTGGCAAGCGCCGGTCTCGACACCACCACCTCAACCACGTCAGCAACCGGCGGCGCGCCCACCCGACCTCCCGGGCGGGAGAGTGACGGCGCGGTCGGTATGCTCGTGGTCAACAGCGAGGACAGTGCCGCTTCCTAACGAGAATGCTTTCCCGTTCCACCACCTCCCATATTCCTCCTCCTAAAAAAAGAAGAAATATATATATTACAGTCTTCACGTTTTCCTCGTCGGACAACCGAGGAAGCCCCGTCCTGATTCGGCGCGCCGCCGCTTTTGCATTCATTGGCCTGCGAAGGCCGTCGGCCGTCAAGGCAGTTGTTGCGCCTACCGTTTTGCGACGCCGCTTGGAACGGAGAGAATCATTTTGGCAAACTCTGGACGGGAAACCAAACGGTGCAGCGTTTGTCGTCGTCGTCGGCTAAGTGGCGTCAGGACGGGCAACAACAGGTAGAAGAGGGACGGCGACGAGAGCTCTGCCTGGGATGTGCGAACCTCTTGACCCCGCATCACTTTTTCTTCTCGTTGCTTTTCAATGTCGGTTCATTTCTTTTTTTTTTTATTTGAGTGTGTGGAGAGAAGTTTCCTTTGTGCCGGGGGATGGGAGATAGTAGCGGCGGAGCAAACTGGGAAGTCGGAATTTGCCTGCTTAGAGCTGACGAGTGTGGGATCGGAGCTGCGGAGGGCGAGAAATGTGGCGACGTCGAAACGACAGTCTCGCACGAGGCACCGGGCTACCTCGGGCACCAAAGAAAAGACAACGTTCGCAAAATTTCCAGGGAGCAAATGAGGTGCATTTTATTTGTTTGTTCCCCTCGTGCTGAGAGTAGGGGAGAAATCGATGCAACAGTTGTGGGCTGTACGGAGGCAATGAAGGTAGGCAGCAGGTTGTATTTATGGTCTGCAGATTTGTCATCATTGTTGCTTTTTTTTTTTTTTTTTTTTTTTTACTGCAGGAGAGAACAAAGTGCTACCTACTACCTCCGTTCTGTACATAAGCCTGTACTTTATTTGATCCCTCAGTAACTCGTGTAACACATCACATCTTGCAGAGCTGCTGTCGGAGACTCAAATGGCTTTTTTTTCTTTAACCAGTTGAAGGAGGCGTGGCTTGACCACCGTTTGCGGCACATACTGCACCAAGAGGTGCACTCGCAACCGGTTAGTCTGGGCACCTGGTAGTCTTGGATACATGGGTGGACCAGCCGTGGATGTGCGGCAAGGGAGTCTATGCCAAAAGTGCAGCTTAGGAATTTGAAACTGACTTGTATGTCTCGGAGGGCCTATTTATTGGATACTGTACACGGTTTATCCTACAAAGACATCAGTGTATGCATCTCTTTGTTTTCCATGTAACCTCATGTTTCTCTGCTGCATCCAACACTTCATAATTATTGGAAGACTACTAAATACAGTGTCGCGGTGCCGTCACAGATGTTCAACTTAGCGTCATTGATGCCACGGAAGCTTGAGGCAAAGAGAAATGTGCCGACATAATATTTAAGACATTCCGAGCAGGCTGCAATGAAACCGATTCGTCGACTCTTGTATTTGGCTTTTCCACGTTGTGGCAGAAAGTGCGACACGAGGCTGTCCTGATATGCAGGACTTGCTGTGAATGGGCGCACTTTTGCTGCTGCTGCCACGGGTTCCCTACACGTTTCTTGTGTATATGGTTTCGATAGTTCAATAAAACCTGACAATTTTTTGTGCTATAGACCAACTCAACTTACTGACGTCACGCTCCTGCGGTGGCGCTGTTGTTGGTACTGCGCAAACGCTTCACTCCACCCGAATTTGGGTTTTGAGCATGTGCAGTGCCCACACCTGTTGTAGGAAAAGTGGGCTTGTTTGTAAACACTGTTGGTGTATACTGGTGTGATCCAACCAGAGCTCAGCTTTACCGCAATACAGACAGCACAGTATTACTTTTCAAATTCTTTGTGCACCAAGTTCTGCATTTTGGTATGATTTTGTGGTTACATGAAGGACTCCAACAAAATAAGCCATTTATAAAGGAAAGAAGCTTGGAATAAGACTATAGTTCCAAGAAATGTGATGTGCACAGGAACAGTGAAACTTGTTGGGAAGTTTTGTTTCTCATATGAAAAGTGTCTTCAGTCAATGGTGTCAGGCTGATGCTCGGGCCACGGCTCGGCCAATCTATCCTGGTCTGCATGAATGCCTGGTGGGGCCGCTATATTGCAGGCCAGTTTGTTGGTGTGTATACGCCACGACTCGATCGATATATTTCCTGCATGTCCAGCATTCTAAGCCCATCACACTTGCATGATAAAAACCAGGTATTTACTTGGGCTCGACTGGGTTGACTGTGGAACAACCCAGTCATCGGCGGGACATTAGTAACTGATGATGCCACATGAAATTATTTATTGTGCCACATATTTGTTATATAGAGTACAGAGAAGTGACGATAGTCTACCCTGCCTGCTTCACCACCGTTGGACCAAGCATTCACGGGTTGGAAGGCAGCTTGCACCGTTCCTCGACTCCCTACCCCACCCTACATGAAACCATTCTGACCTGCCTTAATCGCCCAAGCACATGCAAGATGCAATCCACCAAGTCATGCCCTCTTGCAACACTTGTACGAAACTAATGGCATTGGTTTGGCTTCAGACGACATTCTCATAAGACTCAATATTCCACTATCCCAGACACATGAAGGCAAGTTTTCCACCATACCATGGCATCCAGTCTCTTCAACCAGAATGGTATCTTCTGCCCCACCCAGCACAACTTTAAAAAAAAAAAAAAAAAAAAAAAACAGAAGCTGCAAGACTGCTTGTGATTCTCTGGCCACACTGGTAGTCCGGTTGACTTACTTAATTAAGCAAAGACTCGTATTTAGGTAACCCTTTTGCTGGGATGGCCAAGCTTTTCTCCAGTCAAATACAGAGTGCTGTATTATGGTGCCACATTAATCAACCTGCATCACATTGTCTCGAATCGTGGCAATAAACATGACGCAAAACGAACGTGGAAGATGTTTGTTTCATCTCGTTCCTTATTTTCTTCTGCAATTTGTTATTCTCCTACCAATACGCTTGTTCAGTCTAACACGTTCCTGACTGCCCATAGGACATCGATCGCCACTGATCGGTGGTTTCCAAGCACTGTCAAGAAATTAAATTTAATGCGGAGAATTGTGTTCTGCAATCTCGTGGATAGCCGAAAAAAGGTTTCAATTTCAACGTGGGTTTGAGCCTTATCACAGGCTGGCGGGCTGTCAAAAATAGTCGGGGTTGCACGTGTCTAACACAGCTAACTGCTTGCATCAGTCTTCGTAACGAACATGGCATTATTCATATAATTCGACTCTATTTTGACACGCATTTTAGACCTCGAAAGCTCTGGGGACAGTTTAACAGGAGGCACTCACTTGATCGAATGACATTTTAGCGAACGCCCACATTTCACCGAATGACACTTTAGCGAATAGTCGGACGCCGCGAAGCGGCGTTTTCGGGTGGGCCAAATGGGTTCACATTTTTGTAATGAGCCGCCGCAGACTGTCGCCGCGAAGCGGCGTAAAGCGCAGCGCGGCGGATGGGTTAACGCGCGCCCCCTTTATTCGCTAAAACGACCATTCGCTCAAATGTCGCTGTTCGCTAAAATGTCATTCGCTCATGTGATATGGACCCCAGTTTAACTTATAGGTGTTGCTTAACAGATGGTTGTCAGGAAGCATCACTAATTTCCAATGCTGTCCTGAGCCAATGTGCACGTTTTATGTTCCCAACAAGGCAGACAAAAATGCTAAATATGAAGGAACTGCAATCAAGGCTATGATGAAACCAAGGTAGAACACAAAAATGAAAGCCGTTTACAACTCCCTGTAACGCCGAATTAGAGCGCAGCTCTTGAGGAGGAGGAGGGAAGGGTACTCGTGACCCTCGTGAGGGTAACCCTCGTGAAGGTTACCCTCACGAGGGTTACTAACCCTCGTAACCCTCAAAAGGGTTACCTTCACGAGGGTTACCCTCACGAGGGTTACTTACCCTTGTAACCACGAGGGTTACCCTCACGAGGGTTACTAACCCTCGTAACCCTCGTGAGGGTTACAAGGGTAAGTAACCCTCGTGAGGGTAACCCTCGTGAAGGTAACCCTTTTGAGGGTAACTAACCCTCGTAACCCTCGTGAGGGTTACGAGGGTAAGTAACCCTCGTGGCCCTCGTGATCCTCGTGAGGGTAACCCTCATGAGATTAACCCTCGTAACCCTCACGAGGGTTACGAGGGTTGCGGTTACGCCGACGGCGACGGCGACGCCGACGCCGACGGCGACGCCGCTCAAGCCGGGAACGGGCCCCTAAGAGCTGCGCTCTAAAAGCATTCTGCTGGGGATGTGAGGTGTAGTGTTTCACCAATATAAGCATTCCTTCGTTGAAAAGTGTACAGTGAAACCCGTTTAGAACAAACCCATGTACAGCGCGAATTGTTGATATCGAACTCTCGGAAAATTTAAATGAAAATGCACGTAAAAAGTACTTTTTATAACGAACAACATATTGGCTATATCTAACTTTTTTTCCCCCGGAAGGCTTACAAAAACGTGCAAACAATCGTCTTCTAGCCTGTCCCTTCCCCCAAAAATAATCTAGGAAAGAAAGAAAATTCTAAAAGCTCAAGCCGCGAACAAAGTTAACATAGAGCAACGATTCAGTGGGAAAAAAAGCTAAAAAAAAACAAAAAAACGCTGCATGCACGCAAAGAAGAAAACAAAAAGACCCCACAGAAGGTGTGGCAACATGCACCAGGATTTCTCTCTTCCCTCTCACCACTAATAATAATAAAAAAAAAAAAGAACTTTATCCCAAAGCGGTCGCCTACGAAGAGAAGTGATTCAGAAGGGGAGATAAGCTAAAACAACAAACTGCAAGCATGCAAAAAAAGAAAAAAACATTTTAGCGCTTTCTTACAATACAAGGTGGAAGCGAAGAGATGAGAGAAAAAGAAGCTCTTGCCTTACAACGAACGCATCGTGGAAGTTCGTTGTAAATGTTTTTTTGCTATATCGAACTGATCGGTGCGTTTCCTGCTGTTTGTTATAAACGGGTTTGACTGTATGTGTCACAGAAGCTAACTCTCCGACGAATCAAATATAGACGATGTCGGAGTACACCAACCTTCGGAAGTAATAGCCGTGGGTGCGGGGTACACTTTGTATATTCTGCATTTTTCTTATGTCATTTAATTAGCTGTAGAAGTGTCGGCATTTATACGCCTTCACACATTGTATTTTCAAACAAAATTTTAAAATCTTTTTTTCTTTTCACAGTTTATCAACCTGTTTCTCTTAAAAGAACAACTAATTGGCCACATTTTTATGAGTCATTTTGCTTCATATGCAAATTAGCTAGGAAAATAAAAGCGTTTGCACAGAACCTTTGAAAATTGCTATTTTTCCCAGGGTCAGGAAAGAGTTAAATCGAGTCTCCCAAAGATTGGAGCATGGATCAACACTCCTATTCATTACAAATGGCATGCCTAGCTGCAACAGGATATGCCCAATCCTCTACCCCAATGTTCTGGATCTTTTCTCCCTCTTACACTAGTCGGTTTTAAGATCATCTAGCAGAGGTCTGCTCACTCCAAATCTAAAGATCCAAAACTTCGAAAACCATTGTTGTGCATTTTGTTGCCTCAAAGTAAGCCCACACTATCTGCCCTGCAAACTGCAAGCTCCCTGCTAATCTTAAGTGTTACCTTCATGCAGCACGCAGATTTCATGGCTGGGATCTCTAAACTTTGTTGCTCCAACGCATTCCATGCTCCTCACAGCACTTTAGTCTTGCCCAGTTCGAGTTCTGCACGTCTATTTCGTCATCCTCCCAAGCCCATTTCATAGATCAGATGGAAATTGTTTTGTTTCATGTCACCTGCACCCTGCATGCTGAAGTCATTTGTTTTACTGTGCCTCCATAGGCCAGGAGAATTCAGCTGTACATCTGGCTGGCCCTTGAGCACAGAAAAGCAGCGACTTGCTTGCCTCATTTTGCAAGATATTGACGGGTTGTACCTTTTGTGCGAATCTCTCTCCCGGGTGCATCACGTGAACAGGGGTACAGGTTGGCCCAACATGCTTTATATCCGTAAGCTATGCTACAAGTACAGCCTTTTTAGTTTCTTTCCATTGGGGACTTCCTCTCCAACCCTCTGAACATCTTTTTGTCACTCCCCACGGACAGAACCGACTCAAAACTCATTTTGTGAGCCGACGTGGCCACTGCACCTGTCTTGATGTAGTGCTGTGTTGGTCACTTGCATTCTTAATTTTAAGACAGCATATGTCTCGCAATTAACTTGTTTTCTCGCTCTACTGTCTTTGTTATCAACCCTGCACGACATGATCATCTTACAGACAGTTAAGCGTATGCGTTTTCACCTTTCTACACTAGCCCCACACGTCGCCAGGATCATAACTTTACATAGATGTAAAAATTATTATTAAAATTGTCATTAAATGTTACTCCTGGTTCTGATATGGACCAGCCTTGCATCTTCTTGCATCTGTGTAATCAGACTGCCTGATACACGATAAAGATCCCAGGTTATTGAGACAGCAACTTCCCATTGTTTGCGGGTCTATGCAATCTATTATACGGTGCCTCTACAAATAACAAGATGTGATGAAGTCATTGGAAAGGCACCACAGGATTCTTACAATGCATCCAATCTTCAGCAGAAAGAAAAGTCTAAGCTTTTTGTAGTGTTTCAACTTTTGTCCACAGATTTCAACAGCAAAAGTTAAGGGCTCCTTAGAACAGAGTACATCACGTTGTAGCAGCTAGGGATTACACCGATACGACACTCATCCATATTGAAACAGGCAGGGGCAGGAATGGAGCCCAGGGTGTCTGGGTTTTGTGGTGCGAGCCTTCACACTTTTTTGGACTGTGGTGCACTAACATGCTCGGCCACCAATCAGTCTTGAAAAACTGGAAAGAGAAACAATCAATGCTGTTGAAAGTAACATGAAATGTGAGAACTTCTTTTTTCATGTGAAAGGTTGAAACATATGGTGCCTTGCATTCATGTGTCAGTCTTTTTTTGTAGTCTCTTTTTTAACCTCTTCTTGGCTGATTTCGACAAGTGTTTTATATCGGCAATTTTATAATTTTTTAACACAGAGGTTGTCAGTTTCTGAGGCTTCTTGATGGCTCCCACTTTGCTATCGCAGTCGTCAGCAGTGTCTACATGAGGGTGGGCTATGTTCACTTGCCCTGAGGCAGCATGAACCAGCAGTGATCCAGTGTGCTTGAAGTGACGCACTCCGTCGAACTGTTTCTTTTTCTTCAATTTTCGCCTCAAAGCATCGTCTATTTTTGATGCTGATGTGCAGACCGGATGCTTGGCGTAGACAGTGTCGTGAGATCTGAAAATCCAAGCATCAAAATATGAGTGCACATGTGCCATAGCTCATAGAAGTCACAAAAAAGGTACTAGTGTCTATTCTCTTGGCAGCCGGGAAAATAATTTCCCGAAATTCTACCGGCAGTTGCCTCCCATTGGCCCAATGACAGCTCAGATGCGCTTTTCTTCTGTAATGAGCCGCCCCAGACTGGCCACGGAGCAGCGTGTATGGGTGGGCCATGTAAGTTAACATTTTTGTAACGAGCCGCCGCAGACTCGCCCCGAAGTAGCATGGACATTTGATAAGGTGAGGCTTGTAAAAATATTGAAAAATAAAAAGCCTCAATGGGCACAGCTGATTTAAAGCAAATTCAATAAAAATGAATTGGATTAGGATCAAATGAAAATTCCACAATAAAGCCAATTTGAGAAGGGAAAAAAAAACCGGGACTGGCCAAAGGAATAGCCGATACTCCGTTTCACCTTATGTTGTACCGCAGACAAGGCTAGAAGCGCGAGCTCATAGCGTTGGCAGCTGCCCTTGGTGCACGAGAGCTTGTGCCGCCGAGGTGTGCCATAGAGCAAGGAGCTTGCGCTTGTAGCCTTTCTGCAGTACAGCACAAGGTGAAACAGAGTATAGGAAAATCAGCAATGAAGAGCCCTTCAGTGCCCAACCCCGCCACTAGGTCATAAGCGTGCATCACAGTGGGTCCGACGGTCACTGCATGGCAACCGTGATTGCCATGTGATTAGTTTGATAACTCTCGGCTCCCATGCAAGCAGAGTGAACAGGTGGGTTGGGTTAGAGTTCCTGAAAGAAGAGTTGCGCATTTGATTTCCTCGAGCTGCCATGCGGCTATTCGCCGAGGTCAGGCACATGAGGAACAAAGCATCCAGCGCCAGGCAGGGAAGCCACCATTACGGTCACTCTGCCGACGTTGCACTGCTTCCGACCCCTTTTAGTCCTTTTCTGTTTGCCATCCGCGCCGCCATTATTCGCCGAAATCCCTCGCATGACGAGCAAACTATCCAGGGCTGTGCAGGAAAGCCAGCAATATGCCCACCCCCGAGGCTGAATGCGCAACTCTGCCACCGTAAGTAGCCAAAGCCGTATATGCAGAGAGTTCGGCCATTCATTGGGAAGTATAGGAGACAAATGAGGAGGCGCCATTGGCCGAAAGCGGGCTGGGCGTGTTCCAGGGCGTCTTCACAAATTCGAATGTGGCTAACCAGGAGTCGGAAATAATACCCTGGCGGTGGTCGCAAGAAACAAACTTTGTAATGCGTCGGAGTAACTCTCGGTGACTGAAAATGTGGGGCACGTGATGTTTCAATTACGGTCATCCAAAATCTTGGTGGAAGAGTGTGACTAGCGGAACTATTGACATAATCCGTACGCTAGGCGCCGAGGGCCGGAAATCAGCCGTCCGATGGGTCACACTCAAGTCGCACCCTGTCCGAGCGGCACATTCGTTTCTTACATCTTTCTGCATGATCATGATCGAAACATCACATGCACTCTACTTTCAACCATAAAGGTTTACTACATTTAACTCTTATGGGCTTATTAAAACAATTAAAACTGTTTCTCGCTACCGCCGCTAGGGGATTCTTTTCGGCTTCTGGTTCGTAAAGAGAGCATGTCAAGCCCTCTGCATCTGGTATATGCCCTGGCTCTAACTGCGCCTCTCATTGACCAAACTCTCTGTATACACGGCTCTGTAAGTAGCTATATACAGGAACCAGTGTTGGGGGAGTACTTTATGTACATTGTACCTAAAGTACTACTTTAAGTAGGTTTAGAAAATTTGTACTTTGCTTCAAGTGCATACTCTGAGCATGTAATACTTGTACCTTATATAAAGTTTTTTTTTTTTTTCTCCCAACTTTAAAGTACATTGCCCGATTTTTCTTGTTAGGTTTGTATAACAATATGATGCTTTGTCAACTCTGAAGCAATACTGGGAGGGATATTCTACTCACCAAAATCGCAAGGAGACGGTGCATCCTTACCAATACAAATAAGTGCCTTATAAGTTGATTGTGTTAAAATAGTTTGTCAGCGAGAGTAAAAATACTCTTCCACCTGACTTCATCCAATATTCGCTGCCATTCTCGAAAATCCCAAATTACTGATTATGGAATGAAAGGGCACAATGAAAAATTGTGTTTAAAAGTACTTGTGCTTTACTTTGAAAGTACATTATATTTACAGTACTTTACTTCAAGTACATTGTGCCTGGGGTACTTACTGCTTCACTTGAAGTACATTCTGCCTGGGGTACTTACTACTTTACTTGAAGTATATCTCTAATTTACTTTGGTAGATTAATTAAACACGTGCCCCAGTGACACATGCGGGACGAAATGTCCCTACAGCGTGCAATTCGCGTAACGAGGGTCGCCGAAATGTGTCCATGAAACTTGCATCCACGAAAGGTTGTCTATGAAATGTGCTGTCCCCCGGTCATCGGGACACCATTGTTCGGCTACAGAGTGCAGGAATAACGACAGAAAGCATCTAGTACTGTCCGGGGACCTATGTAGCTTGCACAGAATCTAGCAAGTGCGGCTGCAATGTCTTTAAGATCCATCGCTTTCCAGATTACCCCGATCTCCGTCAACAGTGGGTTGCGTCCATAAACTAAAAAAACTGTCCCTCAACTCCATTCTCTCGACCGTGCTCTGAACATTTTGGGAATGGAGCGCGCACCGAACGCTGTAGCACCGATGAACATGTGGTACGCTCGCAATGTGCATGCAAGTTTTCTTGTGATAATTGCTGTTTCAGCTTGTAACTTTTTGTAAAGGAATTTATTTTAATACTGATACTTTGAAGTGGTCAAACTGACTCGATTTTATCATCTACAACACTTAGTTGAAGGCTCATTTTCGCCACCGGGTGTGGCTGGAAATTGTGGAAAAGTTAGTTCTGTTGGTTTTCCTGAATCGCGAGCTCCTGCGCGATACCAGAGAGCCGTGAACCTATGTTGACCGTCACAACGCGACTACCGTAGATTCTTCTTTTTTCAAAATTAGTACATAATGTAGCTGTAAAGAGATGCTTCAATTTTTGTTGCTCAAAGTTGAAACATGCTCATGCTTCGATTTCGAATCGTTGAATCATTGATCGACTCGCTTCGGCAATAGGCCCATCTCGACATTGCTGTTTTCAGTTCTCGACAAAAGGCACACTCGTCGACATGGGATCCTCAAATAAAACATTTATAAACACCTTCAAGCCGGAGTGAGCTGCCTTTGATTGTTCCCTGGAATATTCTTATTTTACGCGTCCTTGTTCACATTATATTTCATTGTTGTGGACCACACAAAATGCCAAAAACATTCTCAGTGTACTGAATCTAAAACGACAACAAACCAGAAGGGAAATTCAATCGCTGTCAAATGATACAATATTTGGAGTACTCGCCTCCAATTTCTATTGGTCGTGCGTTCAGTGCCACACTTCTGGCGTCGCTGCAGTTGCGAATATCATGCAGGGCAGCAAACGTTATGAATGAGTTGAAAAACGCCATTTGTGGCACACAAGAACACAAGACATGCCCTAAGTCAGATACCCAGAACTTTGGAGCACCCAACTAACAGACCCAATGCAGGAGCAGTGCCCAGAAGAGCACTTTCGCCAACGTTTCCAACCACTCAGCATGGCCACGGAACCTGACGCTGATGAACCTGAAACAGTCTACCGTTTTATCGTGGAATGATTGACAGCAGCTCACTCCGGCTTGAAGGTTGTTTATAAATGTTTTATTTGAGGATCCTGTGTCGACGAGTGTCTTTTGTTGAGAAGTGGAAACAGCAAAGTCGAGATGCGCCTATTGCTGGACCGAGTCGATCAATGATTCAACATTGATGCATGGAGCATGACTCCACTTTCAGCAAACAGAAATTGAAGGTTTCTTTCCAGCTAGTCGCGCTGCGACGGTTCACGGCTCCCTGGTATCACTCAAAAGATAGTGATTCAGGAAAACCGATAGAACTAACTTTTCGACAAGTTCCAGCCACACCCGACAGCAAAAATTTGCCTTCAACTAAGTGTTGTAGATGATAAAATTGAGTCAGTGTCACCACTTCAAACTGTCAATATTAAGATAAATTCAGTTACAAAGTTACAAGCTGAAACAGCAATTATCACAAGAAAACTTGCACGCACCTTGCGAGTGTACCCCATGTTCATCGACGGTACAGTGTTAAGTTCCGTGCACTCTCCATTCACAAAATGTTCCATGTAGAGTCGGGGCACGACACTGCTGTGGAAGCAATGACGCAAATTCGCTTGTTCGTTCAGCGAAGGAGCTTAAAGACACTGCAGCCGTACTCACCTTACCGGATTCCGTGTAAGCTACATAGGTTCTTGGACAGTATTCAATGCTTTCTGTCGTTATTTGTGCACCCTATAACCAAGCAATGGTGTCCCAATGACCGGGGGACTGTCACCATAGAAGCCTGTGGCTCTAATTAAGTTTGGGAGTTTAAAACAGAGAAGAAAGCAACACAGGCGAAGCCTCTCATCCGGGTCTTTCACTCTCTCTAACGCACCAGCAAGGGGGAAAGCACCGGTAGCCCTTTCCTCTCTTCTCTCTCGCCCTCTTTCAGTAAAACAGGCTATAGGCCCTAGCCCCAGCCCCGTCCCTCCGAAATCCAACCGACCTCAAAATGTACACATGCAAATTACCCCCCCCCCCCCCCTTTAAAAAAAAAAAAAAAAATTATAATAATAATAATCTGGTTCTGTTATTGATGGGAGGCGACTGCCCGTAGAATTTCGGGAAATTATATTTGCCTTCCGGCCCGAAGCCCGAAAGCCTTGGTAGAATTTATTAGTAGAACCTTACGTGGGAACATCTTCGACGATGGGCGATGAAGCAGGTGAAACAAGCTCTCCCTTTTCTGGATAAAGTTCTGTAAGCCACGATCGAACTTCAGACTCGGCCGTTTTTGCTATTTCCATGTTTTTGTTACTGGTTAGTAGGTCTAGAAACACCTAGGCAAAAAAACAACAATCACCACCGAACGACGATCGCTCCAGAAGCGGCTTGACTTGACTTCGTCACTGACTGCCTTGTCTGGCAGACAGCCTGAAAGAAATCCTTGTAACGTTGAGAATTTTATGATAAAAGACCCAAATCAAGCGCTCTAAACACTTGTTCAAATAATTTTTTTTTTAAAATATTGATCTACACATGTAATTTCAATTAAGCTGAAAAACGTTTAATTTGTTGACTGATTTAGGTCATCTCGACTCGAATCCAAGACTATCCAGCTATGGCGGGTGAATTCGAAAAAGTTCGGACGGACGAGAAGACGGAAATCGCGAAGACCCACAAAAAGCGAACGAACGTCCGACGTTCGACTTGGCGTGAACATCGGCGCATGTGCACCCCTTCCAGAACTGAGAAAAGCCGCCTCGCTGCATTCCTTCTTTTTTCAGAAACACAATTTTTTTTTTTTTTTGGAGGGGGGGGGGGGGGGGGGGGGGGAAGGAGGAAGGAAGAGGCCGCGGTAGGTGAACGTCTATCCTGCGGCTTCTTGTTGTGGTGTTCCAATAAAGTTGTTTCTCTCTCTCGGGATATTATTATTCGACTTGCTTGTTTGCTTTCTTCGGTAGGAGCATTCACGCTCAGCACTATTAAAGAGACGCTTTGTCTCTTTATTAATAAATATTGAGCTATCCAGCTTAGTCCCCAAAAAGTCACGGGCATAACTTGGAAGTGACACTGCAAGAATTATAGTTCTAGAATTATGGAAGCCTTCCCAACGAGTGCCGCTTGACAAGGGTAATGGGAGAAGGGAAAAGCTGCTGCAAAACATGAATCCCCCTTTTTTCCTGTTTTATTTATTGACAATGTAAAAAAAAAAAAAAAATTAGGTTGTTTTTTTTATGAGCCACTAACTCAAACAATATCGATCGGTTTTGCAGTCAAGTGTGCATTTTGGTGTTCTCTTTGTTTTAAGAAAGAAAGAAAAAAAAAAAAAAAAACGATATTGTGTCTTTGTTACAATTCCTTGGTCCTTCTGATACACTTTTACTGCCTTGCAATGCAATGCTCTGTGTTGCTTTGGATAATGAGTAATTGCATTAATTTTCCTGTCACCACAGCTGCAGGCTGCAACCTTGACTGAGCCTATGCCACAAAAGGAAAATGAAACTCGGTGACCGAAGCTGCTTTCGCTACACTTCCAAAAGACCCCCACTAAAACACCAGCAGGAAAGCAACATGCATACTGCCTCCCCAATCTGGCATGCATTGTGAAAGAACACAACGAAGCCTGGCATCGTAGGGTATGAAAGCTACAGGAAAACATTTACTACGTAAATCACATTTTGCACAAACACGTCTAGCAAGAGTGTTCAGCAACATTCCGTGTCTTCAAAAACAACCCTATGTAGCAGTGGTACATCCTCATTTCCTTCCAGAACTTCCCTCTCTTCTGACCGTGTCTCTTCCGCTGCCTTAAAGAGTGCGTCGAGGATATCCCGTGGTGCGGCCAAGGGGTCCTTTGGTATCCACGCCGCATTTGTGCGTATGAAACAAAACGCACTCACATCCTCTGGGCTCAGTCCGTTCCTTCCTTCAGCAGCTATCGGCCCATACTTCTTGAAGACTTTCTCCGAATGCACGCTGGTGGGGGGGCACGCAAGGTACGCCACCGCAACGGCATACAGCGACGGCCAATGGTTCCGCTTCCTCTCCCAGTAACGTGCAGGGTCGCTCATTGGTGCTGAGAAGTCTATGATGCTGTCTTGAATGTAGGCCTCCAGTTGGGACCTGGCGACGGCAGCCGCCTCGATCCTCATCTGGTCAGGGGACTGCTGCGCTCTCGGCACGGTAAGTCCCATCTCTTCGGCGTTGGACAGCCACAAAGAGAATTCTCCGCCGACTGCAGCCGGCTGGGACGCGCTGCTACCCGACGGTGCCTCGAGCGCGGGTGTCTCTACGCTTCTGACGTCACCGCTCCGTTTGTCTTGAAGATACGCTTCGAGGATTTGACCCAGGAGATGTTGCTTCACGTCTTCCAACTTGTTCTCCACGGGACCTTCAGCGCCGCCGACGTACGTCCCAAACGTGTCTCTGAAGCGTGGGTCCAGGAAACTGGCGGCCCAGAAGGTAACATCTGCCCTCACCGCCCGTAGGTGCCTGCTCGCACGCAACTCTCCAAGCAAGTGACGAGACAACAATGCGGAAGCGGTTCCCTCCTGGGCCCGCTCAATGGTGGTCTGTAGGATCTTCTCTGTAAACCGTAAAAGGGGTAACACTTGTCCCAACGTCGCTGAATCCATGGTGAGAAGAGAAGTCACCTCCTTGAACGGCCGCAGCACGGCCTTCACTTGCCGAAGCAACTCCCACCGTTCGGGAGTCAGGCAGCCGTCGCTCGACCCCTCCATGCACTCTGTCACGGCCACCTGCTGGTCGCACAGGCGCTCCACCATGGAGAAGGTGCTCTCCCAACAAGAGGGATCATCCTCAAACAAACGGCGGACCGGTTGGTCGTTGCGGCGTTGTGCTTCACTGAGCTTAGCCCACGCGCCCTCGAAATTGCTGAAGTGAGAGCAGACGGAGCGTGCGGTTTCGAGGGTCGCTTCCAAGTCTCCCCCAAATCTGGCAAGGAATCCCTTCACAACGAGTCCCATAGAATGTGCGGCGCACGGGATGTGCTTCAGCTGGACGTGACTGAGCGCCTGCTGGATGGTGAGCGCATTTTCCGCGACGACGTATCGCGCTGTCAGGCCCAGGGAAGGGAACCAGTCTGCAATCACGGTGCCTAGCTTGTGGGCCACGCTCCCGTCGGTGTGAGTCTGATTGAAGCCGGACATGTTCAGGACCGCTTTGTGCCTGGACAGTTGTCCGTCCGAGTCTTCGTGAATCATCCAGTGCGCGCAGACAGACATGTAGTCCTTCGCTTGACGGCTAGACCATATGTCCACTGTAAGGTGAACGGCTCCTCCAACACACGGTTTGAGACATTCTTTCAGCGAATGTTTGATGCTCGCAGCGAGGGTTGGGACCGCTGCACCGGCAAAGTAGTCCCTACCCGGAATTTTCCACTGGGGCACGCAAACCTGCATGAGCTCGACAAAAGCCGGCTCTTCCACGGCGTGGAAAGGCTTCATGCTTTTGGCGATGTATTCGGCCAGCCGTTGGTTCAGCACCATCGCGCTGTGGTGCGTCAGATCCCACTGCTGGTGAGGCTCGGTAGACTCTCCGCTCTTCGATCGACCGGCAGAAGCCTGTATCTTAAAAGTGGGTTTCGAGGACCACTTGGCACGTGTCGCGCCTTGCGCTCCCTTCCCCGCCGCCTCCAAGCCCAGCTTGCTCGCAGATTTCTTCTGCAGAAGCAAGTGGTGGTGAACGAGCACGTGCTTGTGCATTGCCGTCGTGCCAGGCCGGTTGCAGCCCCCTTCCTTCCCGAGCCGGACGTTCACCTTGCAATGCTTGCAGACCACCAGTAGTTTGTTGCTTTCGTGATATTCAAAGTGTTCCCACACGGAGGAGTACGCCCTCTTTCTGCCCCTGTGCTGGGACGCGGTGGAGGTGTCCGAGTACTCTTCCGAGGTGCCGTCCGCTTGGAGGTGCCAGACGGCAGACTCTGCCTCCGAAGCGGGTACAGCCACAGCCCCCGCAGAATTATCCGCGGAGAGGTGCGGGTGATGGATGCGCACATGCTTGTGCATGGCCGTGGTGCCAATTCTCCCGGACCCTCCTTCTTTCCCGAGCCGCACATTCATCCGGCAGTGATTGCAGACGACCGTCAGCTTGTCCCACGCATGATGCTCAAAGTGTTGCCACACGACCGACGAAGTCCTCTTCTTCTTGGCGTGCTTTGGCTGCTTCGGCTGTTTTGCCTTTTTCTTCTCCTCGGAGGGGGCGTCGTCGGCGGGTTCTTCCGCGTTGGCCATGGCCGGAAGCCACTCCGTGGACGCGGATGTGCTCGTGCTCGTGCTGTAAGGGTAGGTGATCACGTAGGCGCCCCCTTCGCTGGGTGTGCCACTGGTGGATGCCTGCTCGGGCTGTTGGACCACTGCGTCGGCTGGCAGGAGGACGTAATGTGTGACGTCGTTTCCAGATGGCGTGGTTTCAACCTTTTGGGGAAGTGCTTTTCCTCGCCTCATTTCGAAGCCGTCACTGCAAATTAAAAAAAGAAAGAAAAAAGTTAAAGGTGAGAAAGAACGTAATTAGCTCCGAAAGACTGCTTTGAATGTGGTAGATGTAAGGCATCTAATAAACAAAGGTTGTGGTTCTGGCATCTCTTAAAGGGGCACTGACACATCAAAATCATATTTTTTTTTATTATCCGAAACGATTGAAAACGATGCCGGGACATTACCCTCAAAATTTGAAATTTGGGAGTTCAGTATTTGTGAAGTAAAAAAACAATTTCCAAATGCCGAATTCGAAGTTCCCGCGCGATCGGCGCCGGTGCCTTGACGTCAAAAATCGCGGAGACCTGAGAGTCGACTTTTTTTCACCACTCCCTGTTGTTGCCATGGCGACCCAAAGCGAGGAGGAAAGGAGTGAGTGGCGGCGTTACGGCGGACCGGTTTTGAGCGGTGTCGCCTGTTTTCCGTTAGAGGATACAAATCCAGGAGACGGCACCACAACGAACTCCCGATTTTTGGTATTTCAAAAAGAAGGGCCGTAGTGCGTTCGCAATTGCGTTAAAAAACATGTTTTAGGATTGCCGTAATTAAATGTTATAGAGATGTCGCCTGCAAAGCTTCTAAATTTCCTGATTTTTGACGTCACCGATCAAAAGAAGCGAGGAGGCGAGAGGCGGGAAAATCAAACGCCAAAAATAAAAAGGCGCGCGCGCGCGCAAGAAAAATTTTTTTCGCGATGCGGTTTTTTTTGCGTGTCTATGACTGCAACTTGCATCGTTTTAGACAATAAAAATAAATACGACCTTTGGGGTGTCAGTGCCCCTTTAAGTCATGAGTAAAACACAGTTGTAATCCTTGAGAGCGTGCCACAATGGCAAGCACGACGAGACCGAGCGCATGTTTTTGTCGCAGGCATAAGCATTGGCAAGAAAGCATGCTGCTCACTCCTGTGGCATTGGCTTCCCTCGACTGATTAAGCAAACCGGCAGCCAAGAACTGTTGGGATGCATCAGAATAACAGTCTGACTCGAGTTCTAACACCATCGGACAACACTCGAGACACAGTGTTTGGCGATTTGTTACACTGTACGTATACATATTGCACGGTACGACCTCTTTGAGAGAAGACTACAAAATATACATGTCCCAATTTATCAACATTGTTAAAAGTAAGCAGTGATAGAGTGCAGGCGAGCTGGCAATGAATCAATATCTTGTAGACCCTGAGATGGGGAACAATAAAAAAAACGAACAAAGACAACAAAATCTCAAACGCAGCTGAAATTTATTGATTTGAGCACACCGATAGATAAACTTCCGAATACATGGAGAAAGAGAAAGGGAAAGAAGGAACTCAAACGCATAAACAAGATGGTCAACGAGTTCTACCCGGACAGCGTAAGCTATTCCCCGGCTCCACCCTTTTGGAAAGGGAACCGCCACCTGAAACATAACAACCCCAAGGTCCAACACACAAGGTGACCTCCAAACCGCTAAAGCCTAAGCTCAATTTCCTACTTCCAAGCAACCGCTTTCCATTTCCCTCCACCGCCCCAAGTTTCTCAGCACCCCTCACACAAACAAAAACTAAAAGCCCCCAAAGCTTTTAGGCTATGAAGAATACCATGAAAATAAGGAATTTAAAGGGCCAAACTTAATGTAAATGTGGTTTTTAAAACGGACTTTTGTTTGAACGAGCTTACCCCGTTTACCTTCGGACGTGAGGGATGTTGCGGGAAAAAACATAGAGATCTCTCCGTCACCTGTGTCACAGAGGTGGTCTATAAGATCCCTTTTGACTGCGGGTAATGTTATGTTGGACAGACAAGGCGGTGTTTAAATGACCGTCTTACAGAACACAAAGAAGTGTAAAGAATGAGGCGCAGAGTTCTGAATCGGCAAATCACGTTGGTTCCTGTAATTTTTGTTCCCCTCTTTGGGATGAAACTTCCGTTCTGTGGAACGAAAAAGGTCTGTTTAGAAGGCCAATTAAGAAGACTTTGTGCATCTGTGAGCGGGGGAATCGTGTAAGCCAGCCGTCTTTGGTTATCAGTGATCGTATGAAAGAGTTTTTGCTTGTGTGAGGGGGGCTTGAAAACTTGGGGTGAGGGGGGGAAACGGGAAGCGGTTGCTTGGAAGTAGGAGAACGAGCTTAGGCTTTCGTGGCTCGGAGGTCACCTTGTGTGTTGGACCTTGGGGTTGTTGCTGTTCGAGTGGCGGTTCCCTTTTCAAAGTGTGAAACCGGGGAGTGGCTTATGATATCTGGGCAGAACTCGTTGATTGTCTTGTTTCTGTTTAAGTTCTTTTTTCCTTTCCCTTTTTCCATGTGTTTGGAAGTCTATTTATTGATGTGCTCAAATTAATAAATTTAAGCTGCGTTTAAGATTTTTTTTTCTTTTTTTTATTGTTTTTTATTTCAGTGTCTACAATATGTTGTTAAAAGCATATATTTGAGAGAAACACTCTGGAGTGCAAGACTAGATGGATTAATGCAATTATCTGATTGTAAGAATGTTTACATTGAGGGAATGCTTATGGTGACGATAGCCGGCAATGTGTATGTGACAGCAAATGCTAATCAACTTTCTTTCAAATTTTTTTTTTTTTTTTTTTTTTTTTTTTACGATTGTTGGACAGGAAATTTGCAATGCTGTTTGGTATGGCGTCATCTAGCGACTGAAGCAAGAACTATTGGGTATGCCTCAAAGTAGTAGCTGCACTGTTCAAACGTAATCTATTACTTTGGTCGCGTCGCTTGCGTAGTGTCTGAAGCAAGAAATGTCGGGTAGGCCAGGAGGCCGTGGGCACATAACATGCCAGTACGGCGGAAGCTACGGCCCTTGCGGGCCTATCAAAATGGAGTAAGGCAGGTTATGACGTATCACCGAAGTGCACTTTTACTGCGAAGTGAAAGGCTGTTCGCTGCGTTATGCTTCATCGAAGCCGTCAGAACGCAAAGTAGGGCGTAGCGTTCACCCTTTGCCAAGTTACAATGAGACAGGGTGTAGCCGTGGGCTCGCACTGCGCTGGCGCCGCCTGACCACTCAGGCCCTCGCCAAATGCACCCGTTTAAAAGCACGTTACAATAAAATTAAGCAGAGGATGGTTAAGCAGTATTAAGGGTAGGAAATTGCGGGAAATAAACACAAACACTTCAGCTAATGCTCAGAACAAATGCGAACAGCAGCAGCGGCAAAAAGCCGAGAGTTCTACTCTTGTACTTACTGAGAGCCGACTTTACACGATGGTGAATGGTGCACTAATTGTCAGCGAAATGCAGTAAAATTACTGTATAGCGAAGCAACAGAGCTTTAAAATTTATAAACCCTTCGTATCCATCAAAACAATGGGGGGACGCGGAGATAAATTGACTCCAGGATCGCGTACTTGCTGTAGCCAAGACAAATCAAGCCACAACGGGTATAAACTCGTAAAATCCGTAAACTCCATAAATTGCATTAAGTCACGCTGACTAATTAGAATCATATTTAAATACAAACACCTAAAACAATATTGTTACCATTTAGTAATGCACGCTGTTTGTGGAATTTGTATATACAACAAGTACAACTGTTTTTCGCCAGATGGTGCATCTACCAAACACTGTGTTCCTTTGCATTTTAAACTTGCTGAAGTGCGCTCGAGTCAACGAGGTAGAGGGGCTCTACCTCGTTGGCTCGAGTGGACCAGGGTTATTCGAGTTGCTTCAATGGGTTGTAGCACGTGATAGTACCAGCAGGACGAACCAACGTTGGGACGAACTTTAGTTTTATGGACAAACCCGGTGGATAAGTTTTCGTGCTTTTCGAACGCCAAGGTGCGGAAGGTTTATTTTGATCTCATATCGAGCGTACTTAGGAACACAGCCATAAGGCGTCACATAGTATCACGTGACTTTTGTTTCCGGCCGCAGCTCCCGCGCACGTGCACGCATCCATGTACGCACATGTGTTTTAAAAATATTTTTCCCGGCTAGCTTTTAACGCCGCCGCAACAGGAAACCCAGTAAAACGCTGGGCAATACCTTTGCTCAGACAGATATGCGAAAGCAACCGACCGGTAACCAGGATGGGAGACGTGACAAAGCCATCGTTCGTCGTTTCTCTTCTGGTATGCTCGCATTCGGTCACGCCTCCCCAAATTCTCGGACCACTCACCTTGTCGTTGTTTTGAATTTTTGTAGGCCGGAGCCGCTGCCGGCACCACGGTGGATCTGGTGCTTTTCCCACTGGACACGTTCAAAACGCGGCTACAGAGTCAGCAGGGCTTCTGGAAAGCGGGTGGCTTTGCGAAAATTTACTCCGGACTCGCATCAGCTGCCCTGGGATCGGCGCCTACCGGTAAGAATTTGTGACAAACCTTTGTACTGTCGGCTGTACACGAACCTTGTGTGTCCGGCTGTCTTTCGTGGATTGAAGGTGCGTTGAAGGATCTCGGATCAACCTTTGCACCGCGCTGACAAATCGAGGTCCCGCACCTAGAGCTGACAGTAACTTTATTTTGACTTTTGTTGCTCTGTTCAACATACAACCCTTTCATGTTTAGCTAAAAAAAAAGGTTATTTGAACGTTTTTTTGTTTGTTTGTAGCATTTAACCTGTGTAAAGAAATATAGATACTGGCTTGATGAACTTTAGAAGTTTATTTTTGACTCTGGTTAATAAAAGCACTCAAATAGTTCCAGGGTCGATGTCAAAATTGTATTTCCTACTTGTTTTCATTCAGAGCTTGCACCACTCCTGTTTTCGCCTCGGCTTGCTGAGGATATGTTAAGTAAACCAATAAAATGAGCAGTGACACAATAAATTGGGGATTTTACGTCTCTTTATTGCTGGCTGCTTTTGCACTATATATCGATCACTACTGAATTTGTTTCAGCTGCCGTGTTCTTCTGCACATACGAAGGCGTGAAGAAGTTGCTCTCCCCAAGCTCAGCGGACCTCATGCAACCGGTTGTTCACAGCGTTGCCGCCGGCTTTGGAGAAGTGGTGGGTAGGATTCTCTACCCGCAAACCCTCCCAGAAGTCTAAAATGCTTGAAAAACATGACTGAGTCCTTTCACTGCCCAGGCTGCCTGTATCATAAGAGTTCCGGTGGAAATAGTCAAACAGCGAACGCAAGCAAACCAGAGTGTCAGCAGCTGGCAGACTTTTAGAAAAGTCTTCAAATCCGAGGTATGGAAGTCGCGGTTCCTTTTTTCTTGTTCTTCGAAAGGTCTTGGCGAGAAGTGGTGCGTTATATGCTGAACTCTTGCACCCAGGGAATACCAGGATTCTATCGTGGCTACCTCACCACCGTGGCTCGAGAGATCCCCTTCGCATTCATCCAGTTTCCCTTGTGGGAGATTTTCAAGGTAAAAAGCGGGGCACAAAGAGGGAATTCAATGATTGGCCATGTGCAGTATCAACATGCCTGATGAAGGGCTACTTGATGAAGGTATGCGCTTATTTATCTGGCAGGGGCAGTTCAGTTTGCTGTGGGGAGGTGGAAGCATGTTTGGTGAAGGAGTCCTTTTTAGTAAGAAATTATGTTGTGGTAGTAGGCAGCACACGAGGTAATTGTAGACATACGACTGCTCAATTCTAGGCAATTCAAATGTAAAAGTGTTGATAAGTCTTAAAAAAATACTGATGCCCTTTAAAAAAAATATTTTTTTGCCAGGCGATTTATTATTGTGTCAGAAGACTACCCAATAAATATTTTGCTACAGTGTCGCATACATTTTTAATAAAGCAATAAAAAAAATGCTTGAAACCAAAACTGGACTGGGGAGGAAAAAGAAATCTAGAGGAGGAGAGAGTTGCCAGAAGTCACGTGGCTACACCTAACCACATTGTTTTTTTTTTTTGTTTTTTTCTCTTTGGTTTCTGGTTGTGCGAAGCAGACAAAAACGTGCACCTTCACACTTTACATAGAAAACTGAAAAGTTAAACACTTTGTGCTTGACGCCCGTGCACTCTTCTATCTCTTACCAATTCGTGTTTGTAAGACGACTGATGTCTTCAGCCAGGAGAAGGGGCGACGACTCGGCGACGTCTTCGTGCAAATCAGCTTGGTGGTTGGGTGTGTCGTACGGAATAAATCCTAATTGTTTTGATCAGTAACAGATCCCTCTTTCAAGAGCTTGACAGATTCTCCAGCACCGCAAACACCAGTTCTAAAAGTAAAGGTTCCGCGCCCGTCGTCCTCCACCATTGCTTAGACCGCTTCGTTCAGCCGCCCATCCTGCGATACGACGCCAGGTTGAGACTTATGCGGAGAAGGCACAGAGTGCTTCTGATTCTCTCCGCAACCTTTTCTTCAATCAACATATTTGCAGCATTTTAGGTGCCAGAAAAAATACCGCAGGTGTCATATTTTTTCTATTTTTAATATTGAGTGTGTGCTTTCGATGACTTATGACTTCAATTATATTTGGTTTGTGTATCTAAACAATAGAGAATGGCACATGATCACAGAGAAGAGAGTTAGTGCGACTCAAACCGGCCAGTTCTTGATTGGCGGTTTTTGGGCGGATTGTGAGCTGCAAATTGTTTTCTGGGTAGTTGGGCTCTCATATGTCTTGTACGAATAAAATCCTTGGCGAGCATAAATACCCTGTCAGTGTCCCTTTAAGCGCATGTGCCAGTAGAGTACCCTAAATTCTCTTATGAATGCCCGTCCTTGATGAAGAGATAAAAGATGACAGATATGCTTTTGCTAATTTTTGGGGGCACTGGAACAAAACATCTTACAGATCATGAACACAGCAAACTCGCATTCGGTGGTGGTGCTTGTGATTGTTATTGCAAGCGATTCTATCAATTGATGCAGAAAGTAATTTTCTGTGTGTCTAGCAACAATTGTGATCTCTTCGTGGTTGGCTCACACAGTAGTTGCTATAGATGGCTGTCATTGACGTCACATCACCTATCATTGTAGTTATCTTGCTGGTGAGCATGCACCCCCTGTAGCATACATTTTGCACCTGTGTATTTATTCTCTTAGACAAGAACAAGTATGAATGATGCCACGAGCAAGCCACATATATGTTTGCAAACACTTGTGTCAGCAGCCTTGTCGTTGCCACTGTCGTCTGTGTGGCACAAGCTGTGGCCCGATTCAGTGGTGCACGCAAGCAGCTGTGTGGGCTCGTTCTCATGCACGCACCTCTATATTTTTTTTATTTTATTTCATCACAATGGCCTGATGGTTGAAGTGGTATACAAAAATGAGAGGGGCTATCAAGCGGCTTTGGTGCAGCGTCAGACTTGGCTACTGTGCAATGGAGGTGCACAGCTGGGCACGCGGCAGCGCCAGTGTGTCTGCCGCGACTAGGACGTCACTCCTCTGGAATACGCAGACCGGCGAAGCGGGCGCAGCGGCGGTGGAGCGCGTGGCGGCGGCGGCTCCAGCGCGCCAGCTGTGCGCCGTGTGACGTCGCTGCTCCTCACGCATGCGTAGCACGGAGCACGGCTCATTATGCGAGCCACACGAAACTGCTCAACCTCGGCCAGTGTGGCTCACGCTACAAAATCTTGGGAACTCACCTGTAGCACTTCTTTTGTTTCACGTATATGTTCATCACTACACTGCGATCACGATAAAATGAAGTGTGCATCATCCGTTGGAGGCATGGCTCAGCATTTCCCTCTAGTCTACCAGGTTTTAAACCCTAGCTGATTCCTTGAACTTTGCTGCACCCGAAGGCCAAATTTGTGCTACATGGGGCATAAGAGAGCTTGTCAGTCTACATACCTGCGAAGTCTTTCGTATTACCCGGGAGACTCCCGAATTTTGACCAATTTGTATGGTTGTACGATTGACAGAAAAATTTCCGGAGAACTCAAATTACTTAAACAAGGAGTCTCTGCCGTTGCAACAAACGGCTGCAATGATAACGAGGCCCAGCTGTATCTCGCCAGCATGAGCAGTGCAATATAAATGTAATGAAATTTCATGGAAATTCGTTATCAATATTTATTTTTAAAAACCGCAACTCCCCCCTTCTCCCCCCCCCCTTGGCTTAGAAATTCTCCCGGATTTGGTTTCTCCGCACTTGGCAGGTATGCAATCTGTAAACAGACAATCTTCTGGAGGAATTCCCGTTCTGCACTGCCAACTGAGTTCAGACCTGTCCTTGATCGGCAGTGTTGCCGTTCAGGCCACTCAGTTGTCCTGTTGATTGAATGACGATCCCTAAAGTAGGGTGTAGATTATGCTTTAATGAAGTTCAGTTCACTGGCCTTCCATTGTGCGCCCTAAACATTTTGTGGCAGCACTGAGTGTGAACTAGCTCAAGTCATGGATTCCTTTCTTTCTGCACACAGATAGTAAAAGTGCAGACACAGCTTAGTGGAGAAGCAATCCTCACATATGGTTCTCGTTTACTTTGTGCACTCAGTGCAGGATTGCTTTGTTGCGAATAGTTACATTTTCATTTTGTGGTCAGTTTCTCTGAACATTTGTCTTCCCACTTGCCATTAAAGTGTCTCTGCGTTAAGGAGCCCAGACTTGGTTTGTTGATATGGCTTAAAGCTGTGTTTATTTAATCACTGTCGTCTCGAATGATTGGGTGTCTGGGATAGAACGATTGTGATTGAGGAGTCATTGCTAATTTACCGCAGCTGCTTTAAACTTCGCATCCACTAACATTGTCCTAGCTGAGACCTGACTTTTTTTTAACGGGCTTGAGAACATTAGGGCAGTCACAATCGCTGACTTCCTGCTATTTAATTTTCTCTTGCCCATACTCTGGCTGACATGCTTTTCGAGATTGGGAAGCTTATCAAGATATCTTTTAGTCAAGGGTGCAGTTTTAGATATCGGAAAGTTCCAGTCTAAATAAAACTGTTGTTACATGGCAGCTGTTCTTATCTCAAGATAATACTAATTTTTGTGTCTTGTGAGAAAACAATGTGTTTTGCAAATGCAGTGTTGGGTAAAATACATCTAAAAAGTGCTTGAGGTAACGTACAAAGAAATGAGAGGTTATGTACTTCAGTAACATACTATAAACTGGGCACAGTGTACTTGGAGCAAAGTACTTTAAATACAATGTACTTTCAAAGTAATGTACAAATACTTTTAACACAATCTTTCATGATGCCCTTTCACTCCCCTATACTGTGTGTGTGTCTTTTTTAACTGGTATGCATTGCCGCAGGGGTAATCGGGGGTGCATCAGTTATTTTTCTAAAAACTGCTTGAAACACCATTCATGTCATTCTGCATTTCTGTTTCTGCTTAGACCAACTCTGTGTACAGTGTTAGAAACGAGACCTCGATAAATAACTACAGGGTCTCCAGGCAGAAAACGACTGGAAATGGCTACGGACTGTGACGTGGCTACTTTCATCAGCTTGGATTTTGGCATGACTTAATAAAAATAAGATCGCATTTTGGACGTCTTCATTAGTGTTTTGAACAGAATAGGCTAACTCCTCAGGATGGTGTTCAGCATGAAATAAGGAAATTGACTTTGGAAAATGCAGATATTTAACTTTGATGTGTGGGCTTCTTCTAGTCAGATGTAATAGGTCACTCAGTGTGGTGTGACCTAGAGTTATGTGAACTGGCAGTGCATTCTTTGTGTCGTAAGGCTTCTTCGTTGTGTACATTAACTACACTAAGTGAGCTGCGAAAGTGTTTTCAGTGCTGTGTTCCTAACGTTGCAGGCAGCCTGGCCAGTTGGAGCAAGTGGCCATCAACCCTCCTGGCAAGCAGCTGTCAGTGGGGCAGTTGCAGGTACTGTCTTGCAGTAGTGCTTTCAAAAGTTCTTGGAGTTTTAAGTGCACACTTGGTTCTCTTTGTAGGCGGCATAGCAGCTGGCCTGACGACTCCTTTTGATGCTGCCAAGACGAGGATCATGTTGGCTGAGGTAGGGCTTATTTCACTTCTGTTGGTATGGGGCTGTGACTGCAAATCAGACGAGACATTAAACTCTAATGGTGTAAGCGGGGAAGTATGGACCAATGTAATGGCTAGAATTTAGTTGGCCGATGTAGCCGCTTGGCTTGAGCCTAGGAGTAGTATTGCTCTGTGCACATTGCTTCTCTGCAGTAGGGAAGGAAAGCCTTTTTATGGGGGTATTCACTGGACGCCATGTTTGAGGGCGATGTTCAGAGCGCATGCTCAGGATGAGCTCACATTACCGGTCTGCTAAAACTGGTAATCTTGATGGTGCGGAATGCCCGTTGCGAAAGAACTGTGGAAGCTCGCTGTCAGCATGTGCTCAGCAGTAGTGCACACAGCTATGGCCGCCAGTGAATACTCCCTATTATAAGGAAGGCTGACACCATCGTGCTAAATAATTATTGCCACAACCAGTTTTTGAATTGGCTTCTGTGTCAAAAACTTGTGATTACCAGCACTTATGTGTTTTTTATATCCGAGTAATTTTTGTACCTTAACCAAACCAGTAGTTGTTCAGTCACTTGATGAAAGTAAGGTCTGCTTCAAGTTGCATTACAGAGCTGTCCGGCTTGGTCATTTTAGGTGCCATTATGATTCACATGCTCAAAGAATGATAGAAACTGCACGGGTATTTCCCTGCACACCCCATGAGAATTCATACTGGTGTGCGAGCTATTTTGTGTTGTTGCCGACTACACTATGTAGCTAGAGTGGTTGGCAACATAAAAGAGCTTTGGCTGGTGTTCAGATTTTCACACATGCTGGTCGTTACTCATAGTTAAGACGAGCAAGCGCTTGAGCAGCTGGCTCGTTGGCTGCCAAAATGTCCCTGGCGAATTTGCTAAGATAACTTTTCGACTGACAAAATCATGAAGTGGGTGTTTGTGCAAACGAAAAATGTTCCCGACCACACCTTTTGAGTCGTCTTCAGCAGAAGAACCTGCAACATTTTTTTATCTCTCAACACTATAATTGATGCAAAGAGTCGCAGGAAAATAAAGACAAACAAGAGCAGAAACGATTCACCAGCATGGCCGCAGACTGCTAGCCAGAAGTGGAACAGTGTTTTGTGAGACCGTCCTGTATAGAAAATATCCTCCCTTTCAGTTCTGAAAGGAGCCGAGAGGCAGCGATTTCTTACCATAGCAACGTACGACTTGATAAGTGCTGCCGGAACTTTCTAAATCGCTCTGAGGTATTGTTGGCACGTGATAGGCTACATAAAGTCAATTGATTTTGGCAGCACTAAGGGAAGGTTTCTTTGCTCTGATCAGAATAAAACTTTTGGGTGACATTGCTGACACTTGGCAAAGTGTGACTAGAGTTCCCTGTTAGCAGTGGCATGATCACTTCCCTACAACCACACAATTGTCAGTTGTATAAATGAGGGGAGTTGTAGAGTCTCCGTATAGACACATTTCAGAAAACCTTATTTGTGCAAATGCTCTTTCTTCGTAATTCCAGAAATCGAGTCACCTTGCAAGTGGAAACATGTGGGAAGCACTTGCCACAATATGGAAACAAAGAGGATTACAAGGGTAAGGACTCCAAATGCTTCATGAAGTAGAGTACCCTATTTCCCTGAGATGCCAACGAACCAGTCTGTGTTAATTAATCAGTTTAGTAATCTTACACCCATATTGCCGACTGGGCATGCATTGGCAGTTTCATTAAATTTTTTTTTTGTATTACTTAGTAGGGTGTCTGCTCTAAGCTTAACCAGTTCTAAGCAATTGATCACACTTAAAGCTTTCATTGATTAATCTGAAGGTTAATTGATCACATGCCTAGTGCAGCAGTCAATGTATCTTTTCTGCACTTAAGCTCTGCCACAATGTAGCTTGAAAGCATACATTCTTGGGCATTTTATCAAATTGCTCCTACGTGATGGTTACACAGTGCAGCTGAACCTGTTTAAGTACAGACGCATACCTTCGCCATTATAATACCTAGTGTCCGAGCCAGGCCTAAGGGAAATCGTCGCTCTATGTGATGTCAGTCCACCTTATGCAGTGCAGCTGGATCCCACATGTTGAAAAAGCAATGAGGGAGTACAGTTAAAATTGCAAAGAATACGTAATGGTTAACTGCTTTCCTGAAACATCTGTTTGGGACTGGCAAGCTGTGATGGCTGCAAGATACCGTGTAGCATCCTTTGTTTTTGTGACGCTGCTGAGCTATTGCTCTGGCAGTTTAGCTGCCTGCTTGCAGCTGTTTGCCCTAGTTAAAAATTTCAGGCTCCATTTTACAAACTATGTGCAGTGCTATCAAAGGTACATGTGCAAGAGTGAAGCATCTGCTATTGAAAAGGATGTAATTTCCCGCTCTCCCAGTGCAGTCGCCGACTGATGTTTTGGACTTTGCAGGGACTGAAAAAACGGTATACTAGAGCAGTCTGGAAATCAGCAGGCCAAAAAGCTTGTCTTTATTACGTCTCAGCAGCCTAATGAAAGCCGTCAACAGTGCCTTGCTTCATTCAGGTTACGCCTCCACTTTGTTCGATCACTTGATATTAGATTGAAAATCGCTGCCTTTTCTAGCATTATGGTCAAGTACTTTCCACGCTTCTTAGGGACACTTCGTGGCGGCAGAATAATGGACGGGGTCATGACGTTCAAGCCAGCGTAGTCCGGAAACACAATTAACCGAGACGAGATGAGGGGCACAAGTCCGCAACTGCAGAATGGTGAATGAACAAAGCAAAATGGTGACAATGATGATGATAATGATGCACAGCTAAAGGAAACAAAAGCTGTAGCATAGCATCACCTAGTGGTAGGACTTAACAGTACTCATGTAGTGCTGCCAAACCAAGCCAATCCATGTACAGCCAACATAGAATCTAAAGTGGTGGCTACTCCGTTGTGTTTCCCACTGATCGATTTTGTAAAAAAAAATCAAACTTTTGAACTTGGAGCTGTCCGAAGCATTGGTCGTGAATATGCACTATTTCTATCGGGTAAATCACGGTTGCTCCTTTTCGTCCGAAATTTTGAACACGTTCGGATTATCAGCGTCCAAAAAGTCAGTCGGCGGCTGTAGTCGCTGACAAGCATGAAAGATACCCTGAGGGTTGCTTTTGTACCCCCTGCGATTATTGTATCCCTCGAAATTTGTACAAAGTGGGGCTTCTTCTATATCTTGCTGATGGCTTCCTCAATGCTGCACAGGACCTGCACAATGGAGTATACTAGTTTTCTCGTTCTTTGTCTTGACATGTGCATAGTAAATATGTGTTAATTCCACTGTCACAAGGATACCCTTGTTGTTTTTTGGTATTTACCGTAGTTACTCACATAATGAACGCACCCCCCACAATGGGCATCAATATTTGGACTTCTTTCTTTTTCTCGCGTAATGAACACACTTTCAATTTTCGGCTCCGCCACTCTTCAAGCCAATTTTCTTTTGCCACCAAGTGGCCAGGCCAAGTCAAGCCAAGCCGAACCTCTTGTAATGGCGGCGATTGCGTGGTTGCGGAAGAAATCAACTGTGAAATCGAGCGGCGCGCACGACGAGTGAAGCTGGGGTCGAGGAGTTGCCCATCCCCGGACGTGCTTCGTCCATCGAATGCATTGACGTCAACGAACACGCTGTCGTCTGTGATTCACTTTTGGACAGTGATATCATGAAAGTGGTTAGGCCTAAGAACTGTCGCGTCGTTCTCCGTGCTGAGTGAGCTTCGTAGGGCGCTTTTTCTTCAGCAGAAGGCATGTCAAAAGCACCCTTAAAAAGGTTTGCAATTTATAGAGCATGGTTACTGTGGCGTGCCCACGACCCACGACCAGCCATGAGTGCGCCTCTGTCAGTAGAGATGTGCCGCAGTACCAATTGCTGTGTCATATTGGCACCTCGAATGGCGTTGACACAAAGTGTGTAAAGGCAAGAATTTTCCCCCTACTTAATGAATGCACCCCCCAAATATGTGTCAATTTTTGGGGAAAAGGTGTGCTAATTATGCAAGTAAATACGGTAGTCTGCACGGATGCCATTCTATTGTACTATATGCACAAGGCCATTGAAAGGATTGTATAAAAAAGAAAATGGCACAGCACAAAAGCAGGATATTACCTTAAGCACAGATAATAAAACACTGTTTACATACTTACCTTTGTTAGATTACCTGAGTCTTCTGGTCACCTATAATAAAGAAGAAGTGCCTTACCCTCGACCAGCACGTACATTAATATCAACTGCAGTTTTTCCATTAAAAATATCTTTATTAGAGACAAATGAATGGCTTACACTATTAGATTTCTAGAGCACACTGTTTTTCTCCTGATGTTCCTAAGAACACTACTTTTGTGTCACTTGTTAACCAGGGCCTGTTGTGACACTTTAGCTCTTCATTGCACCCTGTTTGTCCATCCTCAGAGAAACTGGAATACATGAAATAAAAACTTTCCGCTCATTGACGAATGGAAAGGTGTACATAGGGCAAACAGGTCGGTGCATCAATGTAAGATCTATGGATCACTCCCTTTTGTTAAGAGCGTCATCTTTCGGGGCATCTCATGATCCCCTAAGGTAGGGTTGGGTGAACCCCTTTGTTTCCTGACATAAATGTTTTAGTACAACACCACATCGAAATTCCAAAGGAGAGAAGGAAGCTGTTTTCCTTGGGGCACTTGTGGCAGGGACATGTGTGTCAGTGCTGCGTCTTTAACGCCTTGCCTACTCATTTTTTTCTTCAAGAAACATACAGCAAAATTTTATTTTAAATGGAAAATCTGCATTAAAATAGACAAAAACATTTCTTCGACTTTCAGGTGTCACATCTTGCTCAAAATCAGGACTTCTGGTCAGAGTCCCACTGACTTGCAGACGCCGGAGTTAATTAAATGCTTGCAGGATTCACATTGTTTTCATCACTCCTGTAAATGCCTATCAAACTATTGTCAGATTCCTAAAAATCGGCAAGGCTGAAGGGTTCGTCATCACATATGCACGAGCACCAATTCTTTTCAAAAATGAAGGTTTCGTATCTCTTTGTCGGCTCAAGCGGACGTCCTTGTCAAAGCCATGTTGTTTTAGCATGAACTCCCTCAAGCGACTGCTTTTTTTTTCTTTGCTAAATGGAGCGTCCTTTCTCTGTCAAACAGCAAAACAAACGAGCAAACGGCCCAAGGTGAATGGAGCAACAGAGATGGTTTTGCCATCTGCCGGAGAGCACGCTAAGCAAGCGGCAAAACCGAAACACGAGTCACACTCGTGGCCATGGGCGTACCAACCGGGGGGCAAGGGGGGCACTTCCCCCCCCCCCCCCCCCCAGTTTTCAGGGTGGGGGGCAAGGCAAGTGTTTCGCCCCCTCTAAAACAGCCACAACTGGGCAGGGCAAACACTGGCCAGCTGCGCCCAAGGGATACGAAGGATACCGCCCCCATGCCTGGAGGGAGGGGGGGTTTGCCCCCCATTCAAAAACAAGTTGGTATGCCACTGCTCGTGGTCGTGGTTTATGGTCCGTAATGGGTGGCACGAGTAACACTCGTGATTAGTAGGCAAGGGATTAACCGTTTTAAGCGACGAGGGAAATTTTGGAAGTACAGTAAACCCAAGAACCAATGCTACATCATTGCCTGCCAGCATAGATACACTGAGTAGCGATATGACAGCATACACACGCCACCGAGTGCCTACCCGTCCTCGGTGGAGTAGGTCGTAGCTAGCATTTCACATTTTTAGCACGTGCCTTCAACTTCCCCGTTTGTGGACCGATTTTGGATATTGAACCACCAATCAATTTATCTTATCACTAAACAAGGTTTTTGTGCCACTGAGACATAGCAAGGACTCTCCAGGAGCACTTGCCAGCATTTAGGAGCCACGAGGTGGTTTGAAGACCTCCCAAGTCTTTGCCGCAGAGCAGCGTGGCAAGAATGAGGCGCTTGGGAGCAAGCAGCCAGGATGGCCGGCAAGATCAAAACAAGATGAACCCACTCCACCAAGGCGAACGGCTAGATTTATCCGAGAGATAGCAGTCTGTGAGAAAAAAAAAAATAACACACTAGAAACAAAAGGAGGTTAAAGCCTTCCTGTCCACAAATACAGTTTTTTTTTTTTATTCCAAAATGCCCTGGCAGACCAAACGGGTAAGGTGTTCTCCCCGCACAGCATCTGTCTAGAGTAAATCAGCATGTGTTTTACTGTATTTTAATTTTTGTTTTGCTTTTAAGAGTAGAAGTCGATCGGAATGGGCCCTTGTGCTCTCTACTGTTCCTGTCGCCGCTTGGAGAACAAATAAATATTAGCATTACCGTTGTTACCAAGAGGTGGGTGTTTATTAGAAGCATGTTCCAAGCAGAGGTAAATCACCACTTTGAACACTTGGTGCCTTTTTTGGAAGGTTTATTCTTTGCCATATTTTCACCTTCCAGATTGTTCAGCGGCGTCCTACCCCGAGTGGTCTCCCTCTCTGTGGGCGGATTCATATTCCTTGGAGCGTACGAACAAGCGAAGCACCTCATATACTACGCATACGACGGCAGCAGCCACAACTTGACACATACAGAACTACCGACTACAACCAGTGGTAGCTAACGTATTGGGGATGTAGCCTCTTTTTTTTTTTTTTTTTTAAATAATGTTGCCTTTTACCCGCTAGTCTTCTTTCATTCATATATCGCCACCATGATGCATATGGGTGAGTGGCAACTATACTTATTCAGAAATAAATTGTTATTTGTGTTGACCATTTTTCTTTCCTGTTTGGTGGTAATATTGAAAGTGCTGACGAGATCCTCGTGTGCACATCCCCGCCGTGAACTCAACAAAAGCCTGACTGACGTCGTTTGTCATGCGCGAAGATAGATTTGCTATCTCTCATTTCCAAAATAGGCCACTAACAGCTATGCTTGTGGCCTTTACAATTCAACTTTTCCTCTTTTCTATATTTGGTCCCGCCCTAGACTATGACGCTGTTGGTTTCCTTGAGTTGTATAAATGAACCTTGTTTACTCATTTATTACCGGTTATGCATTTTGCTTCCTCATTTTTGTTTGCACCATTACATTTCCTAAATAAATGAGCGTGCAAGGGAGAACTACGTTTCTTATATACTGCATAATTGTTTCCGAAGGGCTTAACATTTCAACCATTCTCCGTGCCTTTGAATAGATGCCCACCGTTGGTTCTGGCATGTCAGTCCCCAAAATTTGTTTTGAAATATAAATTTTTTTTTTTCATTATAGGTTTTACTGATTTGTCTTAAAAAAAGCCGTGACATCTACACTGATGCAGTCTGTGCATGTGAGTTGTACGGCAAGGGGGGACATAATATGGGGGGCTAGTCGTCACGACCAGTTGGCTAATTCACTATTTGTTTCGGTAACTTTTCAATTAATGAAAATAAACATCGTTCCAAGTAGAAACTTGGTGTGCGTAATCGAAAACCACTAAATCAGTAATTTTTAGATAGACTCAGCGCGTGGGAAGCGCAGTAATGTGCTGAAGTTGCCACTCGTGCGACAGGCCCAAATCCGGCATGGAGAAAACGCGGATGAGAGGCTGAAAAATAGCTCTGGCGGGTTATCACAACAGTCGCCTTGCTCGTGCTGTACGAGTGGTTACTTCAGCGCTCCGCCGTGCCTCCCACATCAGTAATAGAGGTGCTGCGCCAAATAGCGCGATGAGCGCGTCTGCTACATGTCACGCCAAGACGCCATTTTTACTCAGAATTGTGCCACGCCTGCGCCAGGATGAGGTTAAACAAAGCAAAAAATAATTTAATATTTGTTCGGCATAATATTGAAAAAAGTGGAAAAGAAGGAACATGGTAAAAATATGTATTCCATGGTGTGTCTACTCACGCTTGCCTACTGCGCTTGCCAAATCATCGTCAGGACCCCCACCCACCGCTTCTCTCACTCTCTATTCCCTCCCCTCCCCTGGCCTCCACGAATATTGGTATGAAAGTGAGAACCGATCAACGATCGATAACCCATAACCGACACTTTTTCTCTGACTGGTCGAGTTTTTGGCCGTGGAGTGTCCGTCGTCTCCATGGCCATCTCTTAATGAGATATTCAAAATTCGGGGCATTAAGGAGAACGGAAACCCGGAGTTTCAGTGCATACTTTGCTTGCCAAAAAACACACACATTGTCATCAGCAAGAACAACAAACTCTATTCTACGGAAACGCATCAAGGTAAGCTGGGACACTTGCATTCTGCATTAGGCTATACATCGTAACATTAGAATCAAGTTTTTTCTTTTCTTGTGAATCTTAGGCGACAGACCCGAGTCAAAAGGGAGCTTTCGTAGACCGCTTCTTTAGCTCCAAATGTCATAGCGGAGGTAGACGCTGCTACTGAGCATGCGCACCGCTAGCTTTGTCTGCACAATTCTAGGGGTCATTTCCGCATGCCGTAAGCTAGCGGGATGGAGGGTTTGGTAGCAGCTTTCGGTGCCTTGTCAGCTTACAGGTGAACGGAGTATACCTACACTCTTTCTCTTAAATACAATATTTCAATTTTACAAGGACTACCATAATACGGGCGTATGAGAAATGAAAAGTGGTGGTTGTAGAACATTTTTTGAAAAATATCAAAATTGTTTCGTATTGTTTTTTTGGATAAGTGTACGGAGAAAGTAGCGTGAAATTAATTTGTAACGTAACGAATAAAGTAATCCGTTACTTTTCAGCGAAAGTAATTTGTAACGGTAATCCATTACATTTGAGGCTCGGTAATTTGTAATTGTGATCCATTACATTTTTCAAGTAACGAGCACAAGTCTGTTCGTATGCAGCTTCACCGCGCGCATCGGTGTGTTAGGAGTAGCGGCTTATGTGGAGGGACACCCATGGGTTAGCGCGATGGGTTCGAAAATTATACTCGGGACTATTACAGGTATGCCTTTTTTGGTCTTGATTGTAGGTCGACCTCTCATTTTAGACAGCGGTGCCGAAGAAAACAAACAAACAAAGAGAACGCAGGCCTATATTTTAACATGCCGTCAAGCTAGTTCCCGCGCAGCAGTCGATCTCCGACTCGATTCGGGTTTCAATGCGTCTAACCCCTGCAGAATTATGAATGTCTCTTTTAAAGCTAAACACTAATTGTTAGTAATATTTGGGAGGGGGGTCGCAGTTTATGATATTAGGAACTTGAGTTATTTATGTTCATAAATCTTTGCAGAGCATAATAACATTGATCGACCTTTTAAAGCACATGTAATCTTTTTCCCGGAATATTTCATAAATGATATTAACAGTTTACATTAACTATGGGCGTAATGGAGTGGGAGAGACACTTTATCTCAACTGAAGTATATCTTGCTATAATTCATGTTTCACTCTTTTTCCTTCTTATTAATTTCTTTTGTGAACGGGATCTACTATGACCTCAGTCTTATTTTTAAAAAGATTGTGATATGTCATGTATATTTTATGAATATTTTTATGTATTATATTTACAAAACGTACTAACCTATATACTTTAATATAAAAAAAACGAACCCTCGATTATTATCGAAGATTGACTCATTTAATGATGCCATCACTGTTTAATTGTTGAGTGATGTGCTAACACAGGTTGGGATCTGCTCTAAAAGGGCCAATGGCTTCTTTCAAACCAACCTTTTTCCTGTTACAATACCCTAAACAAAAAAACAAAAAAAATGCCGCTTCCATCATTACTGAATCAGTCGATAGTAGAAAGACTTGGAGCATGTGCCGATTCTTTCTAATATCGGCTGAATCAGTGGTCTTCAGTGACGCTGCACGAGTTTCTAACGGAACCACATGTTTATTTCACTAATAAACTAATTAAGCTATCTAAATTAATTAGCCGAGTTATCGTGAAGATTAGCCCGGTATATTACGTCCCGCTGGCTGAATAACACATCTGAACAAAGTACTTTAGCGTAGCTTTTACGGATGTTTTTAAAACAAATATGGAAAGCCTAAAAAAAAACAAAAAACGAATGTGGTTGTACGGCGACAGACACTCGTGCTGAGGTATACCGACCTTCTCGGTGCGACTATAACTTTCTGCTCAAGCACTTGAATAAGGCAGCGCTGCTCGAGTGCAGTCCTAAAGTGCTCCAAGTATGGCCTGGATGTTTGCATGGTTTCCGGCTTCATCGCGACTACGGCGTTCGTACGTGAGGGGAACAGATCTGCTGTGAATACAGTGTCGCTTTTATTTATAAAAATGACCGTCACGGTCATTTTCCTGCGCACGCGCGCAGGAAACAGCTGCAGATAAACGTTGCGCCCGAGTATTAAAAAGAGAAAAAGCTCGTTTTCTGCGTCGGAGTAAGAGAGCAAACAATCCAACTGCTCGGTTCAGATTGTGCACATGTATTCGGCATTGTCGTGACTGCTGCGTTTAAAGTCTACGAATAAATTGACAGAACCGCGACAAAACCGATTTTTTTTTTTTTTTTTTTGAGGACAGCTTTTGGCTAAAGCGAAAACGACCAGCTGGAAATCACATGTTCCACATCGGAAGCTTCGCTGCGACGTTGTAGTACTTTACAAGCTCATCAGCATGCTTATCCCATCATTAAATTGCGTAACGCTGGACTCAGTACCTTTGCTTCGGAATGACGACTGAAATTCGGGGGCTTGACGGAGAACTAAAATTAGAAAAGAAAGAACAATGGCGGATGCTTGTGCAAATGTCAAGAAAAGTGACATCTCGCCGTATCATCATCTGATGATGATACGGCGTAGTATCACTCTTCCTCATGAAAATTTACTTCTCAAAATGTAAAAAAAAAAAAAATATTGCAAAATAAAAAAAAAGACGTTTACAATCCCCTATAACGCCGGATTAGAGCGCAGCTCTTGAGGAGGAGGAGGTGAAGGTACGGAGAGGAGGGTATGCCCCTCCTCTTCTGCTCGCCTTCCATTTAGGGGAAAACTTTCCCGCTAAATTTAGCGGGGAAATTTTTCCGCTTACTTTTGCGGGGAAATTTACCCATAATGCAATGCGCGGTGACGCCATCATGGGAAACGTCCCGTATTGCTCCGCGCGGTTACGCCGACGCCGCTCAAGCTGGAAGAAACGGGCGCCTAAAAGCTGCGCTCTAAAATAAACTACGCATCGCCGAATGCTCATTCTCCGCCCAAATGTAGCTTTAGAGGACCGAACCGGATGCCAAAGTTTCAGCCGTTATCTTATTCAAAATTGGTATAAGTGATTTTCTGAAATTGGCAATGGGAAAATGGCGTCAGACTCTGGAATACGTGGAGTTGAATGGCGCCGGATATCGAAAACGGGCGAAAACAGGCTCCATGTTCCCATTGAAAGTTTCGGAAATTCTCTTAAAACTTTTGATTGAGACAACGGTTTGTTCTGAAACTTTGGCATCTGGTTCGGACCGTATAGTGCCACATTTGGGCGAAGAATGAGCGCTGGGCAATGCTTTCGCGGTGAAACAAACAAAATACACCACTTTTTTTTTTTTTTTTTTTGATTCGCTGTACATAGTTTTTGTTTCGCCATAAGTTAGAACGCAGTCAAAGGTATCGTCTCCGCAGCAGCGCAGCCGGTCGTGTCGAAGTCAGTCGTTGGGGACAAAGAAGAAGCGATCCCGGGGGCACGTGTGCATGCGGTGCG